CACCTGAGGGATGGTGCCAGCTCTCCCAATTTCTGGGGTTGAAACAGATCTTTGGAGTTTCTCAACTTGTCTCCCAGGGTCAAGAGAGGTTCCCAGCAAATCAGCCAGCGCTGTCCCTCTATGAGGTTTGAAATTAATTTCTGGTTTGAAAATAATTTCTCCAGTGCTTCCACCTCCCAATCCACTGAGGAAGCTTTAAAATCTCTCAGATGTAGCCCTTCCCTACCACACCCACATCAAAGGACACTGCTAGGGAACTCCTCCTTCTAGGCAGTTGCTGTGGAATAGAAGGGGTGGATGGAGAAGGAGATCATGTGAACAGAAAGACAATCCTCAAGTCCACCAGTGTCCCTTCCTGGGCTGAAGCCAGAGAGTTGTGGGTGGGTTGCCAGTCAAAAGACAAATGTCAGTGTTCCTTCCCATTTGAACTGGCTAAAAAAAAAAGCATGTGTTTTACCATTGCCATTCTACTCTGGCTTGTAATTTAGGGATCAGAGGATAAGGCTTCAGACAGCTAAGAATCTTGAGTTAAAATCTTCAAGCTAAAAGTAAAATCACTTTAAAAAAATACAACTGCTTATCAACTTTATTCACCTCCTATTCAGAAGTGAAAAATGCTCCAGGGGGAAGTTTCCTGAGCAAAAGCCAGAATTTACTGTGTATTTCTCACAAACAGGGCTCCCTGGTCTGTTCTGCGAGAAATGAAACCCATATAAGACCCACCCAGCAAGCCTCTTGGGCAAAAAGGAGTCTAAGCCAGAGTTGAAAATCCACTTCAGGACTTTTTTACTGCTGGGGTGGGTTGGAGAACTGTCAATGAGCAGGAAAATAGCACATCTGGGATATGGCTCTGTCCCCTTGTTGGCTGGTATAACTCAACATGTACGTTAGATCTTTCTTTTTTTTAATGGCCAAGATTTATCTGGCTTCTATTAATTTTTTTTAAGTCCAGGGTGAATATGATTGTTAAGTTCTATAGGTTTACATTTGTGTAAATTAAAAGCCATATTTCACTACTGGGCAGATCTCCTGCTTGCCTTAAAAATAAAACGTGGGAAAACTAAGCACTGCAATCCAAGACATGGGTTACCCAACTCACCCAGAAGATACTAAAAGACAGGGGTCTTGTGATTTTCTTCACTAAAGCTATATCCCCTTTGTGCCTTTATAAAACCCGGTTCTGGAAAAGTCGGCGCCAAGATGCTCATACTGAAAGTAGACTTTTGGATTAATTTAGTCAGTCATGTTCTGACCATGGCAACAAGAGGCTATTATAGGCCTTATTTTGCAGCAAGCAAATTGGTTTGTAAAATTGATATAGCCATATTAACTCCTAAAGGGATTTGGGAAGAAAGTGAGTAGACCCTTCTGGAGACAGTGATCTCTTTCTTTTTTCTTTCTTTTTTTTTTTTTAGTCGAAGACTGACATCAGTTTTGACCAGAAGGGAATGTCTTTTTCATGGAAGCCCACACTTGGCATTTGCTCTTAAGTTAAAAGCAAGAGCAATGTAATAAATGTTTGGTAACAACCCCCCACATACTTAGATTTATTGGCTAGTTAAATCTTTAATGGTTAAAGTTAAAAACCTTTTATTTCAATGGCCTGGGGATTTGCACAGCTGGAAGGTTGTATTTTAATATATTCAAATTGGAATGGGAAAACCAACGTGATCAGGACTTTCTTTCTTGGACACTTCCAAGCTGCTAGGGAGCAGACACAGCCTTGCCCCAGGTCCTCCCTCCTCATGCCAAGACAAGTTCCAAAGGGAAGAGGAGAAAGGGAGAAGGAAGCATGATTCAGGGGGAAATTTGGGTGGTTCCTTTCCTACTTTCACTCACCTGCTCTTATTCTCCACTCAAGTCGTAGAGAAATCAAGGAGCATCTATAGTCAGGTTCTGCCACCCAAGTGATGCACCTTGATTGGGTCATGCCTTGCCAGCTCCACGCTTCTGGAAACTCCCTAGTTTGGTGGCCTGGATTGGAAAGGTGCTGTCAAACAGTGGTAAAGGGGCTGGGGGTGACTGAGTTGACAGGATTTGATAATGTGATGAAGGGAGATGGGGGAGAATGAAAGACTATTACGGCATGACAGAAGTACAGAATTTGAGATAAGAGGTTGATGAAAGTGACAAGGGGTAGTGCTCATGCCATCTAACCAAATGCTTACTCTGTTCCAGGTAATTTCAAATAGCTTTATGTGAATTATTTCATGGATTCTCCAATTTGGTATTTTACTCTCCCTTTAAACCAGCGGTTCTCAACCTGTGGGTCACGACCCCTTTGGCAGTCGAACAACCCTTTCAAAGGGGTCGCCTAAGACCATCCAGCATATCAGATATTTACATTACGATTCATAACAGTAGCAACATTACAGTTATGAAGTAGCAACAAAAATAATTTTATGGTTGGGTCACAACATGAGGAACTGTATTTAAAGGGCCAGAAGGTTGAGAACCACTGCAAACTGAGATACATAAAGGTAAGCAACTTGCCCAAGCCCATCAGGCTAAAAAGAGATGAAGCCAAGATTCAAAACCAGGTAATCTGACTCAAGAGCCTACAATATTTTTTAAAAAAATACATTTTTATTGGTTTCAGAGAGGAAGAGAGAGTGAGAAAGATATAGAAATATCAATGATAAAGAGAATCATTGATCGGCTGCCTCCTGCACACTCCACACTGGGGATCGAGCCTGAAACCTGGGCATATGCCCTGACCAAGAATCAAACCATAACCTCCTGGTTCATAGGTCGATGCTCAACCACTGAACCACACCAGCCAGGCAGAGCCTACAGCCTTAACGAGCCTTCAAAGAATTGGGAATGGGAGTACTCAATGTCTTGGAAATTAATGGGGATGAGTGTTACAGTCACTGGTAAAGCAAAACCGCAAGGACATCTCCATCACTCTCAGGAAACACGAGAAAGAGGAAATTCTCCATCTCATGCACATCCCACAAATGCACACCACCACTTCATCCCAGCAGTTTCTCATGCACCTTAACACAGAGAAACAAATTTGAAAAAAGATATGTTATTCATTCATCTACTCACTTCATAGGCACATGCTTCAGAAACACACCCATCATGGCACCAATGCTTTCACACAGATGCACTAACATTCAGACTCACATCTTCTGGCACCACACAAGTACACAAGTTCATGCATGTGTGCACGCACGCGCATGCACACACACACACACTCATGGCACCAGTGCTTTCACACAGATGCACTAACATTCAGACTCACATCTTCTGGCACCACACAAGTGCACAAGTTTATGCATGTGTGCACGCGTACGCACACACACACACATACACACACACACACTCTTGTGCACACCAAGGGGTATACCAGATGCAGTTATCTCTTGATAAGTTCTTGGAACTCAGCCATGCCATTGTTTTTCAAATGTTGACTGCTGGCTGTCCAGCTGACAATCATGCACCTGGCCAAGATTGGATCCTGAAGGGTGATGGATAACACATATGGATCAGACTGCCAGAAATATAAGATGATCCAAAGGCCCCCAGGACAAAGTGGTGATAAATAGCATCATCTAACCACCACTCCCAATCCCCCATCCTAAGAGCCCTGAGCTCTCACCTTGAGGAAAAGTCAACCAGTTTTGCTAGTGACCTTTGCAAGATCAAACCTGGGTCTTTGGTCACCAATAGCTATCGCAGCGACCAGAAGGAAGGCTGCAAAGCACAGGAGGTCATTCTTTTTCTTTTCTTTTTTCTTTTTGATAATCCTCACCCAAGGATATTATTTTTCCACTGATTTTTAGAGAGAGTGGAAGGGAGGGGAAGAGACAGAGAGAAACATTGATGTGAGAGAGACACATCGATTGATTGCCTCTGGGACACGCCCCGCCAGGGCTGGGGATCAAGCCTGCAACCAAACCGAGTAGGGCTGTGTCCCAGGGAGAGAAGACGCTTGGTGGAAAATGCCAGGTTCCCAGTGACTTTTCTAGTTCTAAAACGCTAATATTTCTCATATGGAGGCTCACAGATTTTCACAGGGTTTTCCATTTCAAGGCCATTTTGGTTTTTTATGGGGTTTGATGTTCTCTGCACAAATATAGGTTTAATAATTGACAGAGTGCCAGGCTGCCCACTTTGGCACTCCTAGCCCTGTCAAGCAGGACAGTGAGGCCACTCAGCTCATATGGCCCGAAAAGCCAGGACACTCTGCTCCCTGGCACAGAGACCTTGCCAATTGCAGGAAGTTGGGAAATAAAAGAAATGTTTCAAATAAAAAGATGTCAATTTAACAGGGACCTGGAAACAGATGTTCCTCGCAGAGCCCCAGAGCCGCCCACCCGCCCGCCCATCCGTCCTCCGGGTTTTCAAAGTCACTTCTTGTCAGGTGCCCTGGTTAAGAGGGAGAATTAATGAGCTGTGCTCCATTTTACGGCTGCCGTCTGATGTGGGAGCCCTGTGCGGAGCGCTGGGCGGACTGGCCAGCCTGGCCCCCAGCCCTTCCTCCAGCAGCTCAGCCTGGATCAAAGAGGAGAGCAGCTCAGCTTTTATAGCAAAATGATTAAAACCACGTGGGGCTTGTTTCCTCACACGTGACCTCCTGACAAAGTGCAGAGGGGGGAGCAGAGGAAAGGTGAACCCAGGGGTCTCCAGGCTCAGGGAAGAGTAGGACCCCAGATGCAGACACTATAGAAAATAAGCACAGACAAGCGCGTGCACATGCGCACACACTCATAGTGCCTCTTCCCTGAAAGTTGAAACCCAGCTCGAGAATGAGCACTTGGAGAGTCTAATTAGCCAGGTTAGCTAGGACCACAGAGAGATAGGTAGATAGGTATATAGATAGATGATAGAGAGATAGATGATAGCTAGATAGCAAGTTATTTGATTAGTTCTAGTCCTTGTAGAAAAGTACAACTGCATTGTATGACAAACTACGTCTCAAATGTCCCTGCTGCATCTGGACAAATAATTTCTCATACCTCCGTACTCTCTGGCAACTCTGCCATACCTGGAAATCACAGCTTGCTGGTGGTAAGCGACCGCACCTCTGTTCTCCCAGGTGATTCCCCTCCCATGGCATTCTTGTGTCATCTCCTTCTCCCCCAGTGAGAATTGAATTGGTGACTTGTTTCTAGAGAAAGGAATGAAGCAGAGCTCATGAGATATCACTTCCAAGATTATATCATTAAAAGACCGTGCTTGCCCTGGCCAGGTGTGACCCAACTGGTTGGGCATCATCCCATGCACTGAAATGTTGCCAGTTCGATTTCCAGTCAGAGCACAAGCCCAGGTTGCAGCTCGATGCCTGGTGAGCAGTGTGCAGGATGTAGCCAATCAATGTTTCCTCCCAGATTGATGTTTCTCTCTCTCCCTCTCCCTTCCTCTCTCTCTCAAAGATCTTAAAAAAAAAAAAGACAGTGGCTTTCTTTTCAGATATATCTTGTCGTGAAGGAGGTCATCTTCCATGTTGTGAGCTGAACTATGAGAGACCCACAAGGCAAAGAACTGAAAGACAACTCTCACCAGCAGCCTTGAGGAACTGAGCCCTGCCAACAGCCACAAGCGAGTTTAGAAGCAGACCCTCCCCCAGTCGAGCCTTGAGATACCTGCAGCCGCAGTCAACACCTTGATTATAGCCATCTGAGATACCTAAGCTGGGCCCAGATTCCCGATCCACAAAACCTGTGGGATAATAAGTACTTATTGTTTTAAGTTGCTAAGTTCTGGGATGGTTTGTGAGGCAGCCATAGATAATTCATGCACCTACACACCTGAGAATCACGGCTCCTTCCGCCTCTTTTCTCCTCCTGAGATAGCCCTGTGCACCCAGGCATGATTTACAGCGATCTTTAAGTGGAGCATCTACCATCAGCCCCACCGCTGCCTTTACCACTCTGAGCTCCTCCCAGCCACCCCGGCCTCCTAGCTATGCCTTGAGAACACCAGGAATGCACCCACCTCAGGGCCTTTGTACTTCCCCAAGGCTTCCCTCCTCCTTCAAGACTTTGCTTGAACATCACCCATTCAGCCAGGCTCTTCCCGACCACTCTACTTGAAAAGGAAATCCCTTCCGCTCCACCGTTGATGCTCCCTATTTCCCTTCCCTGCTTGGTTTTTGGCATAGCCTTTATCAGCATCTAGCTTACGATATATCTTATTAATTTCGCTTGTTATTTGACCCCACTCCCAAACCAAAGGACAGAGATTTGAGGATTTTTGTCTATTTTGTTCACTGCTCCATTCCTAGTGTCTAGCCTGGCACATTGTAGGCATCCAACAAGTATTCACTGAATAAATTAACAAATGGATTTATAGAGCTCCCATTTTCTAAACACCTACTATTACATACCAACTACATATTGTCAATAATTCTCATAACATGGTCATTAATCCTGATAACTCTACAAGGTTGACATTATTTCTCATTTTACAGAATTTAAAAGCTGAGACCAGGGAATGCTCTGTTATTTAAGGTCCCACAGCTAATTCATAGAAGTGCTGGGATCTGAGACTCCTACATTTTTTTATTTAAATTAAATTTATCGGTGTGACATTGGTTAATTACATTATTTAATTTTTAGGTGTACAAGATTACAGTTTGACATCTGCACACCTACATTCTTATCTCTACACTTTTTCTATTGCCTTGGGTACTCTTTACAGTGAAAGTACTGTCCAAAGCAATGACCTCATCTAACCTTCACAATAACTCTGTGAAAGAGCAATTGTAATTATTATTTCCATTTTGACAGAGATGGGAATCAAAGCTCAGAGAGGTGAAGACGTTTGCCCTGGTTGGCACAGCTGGTAAACAGCAGAGCCAGAATTTCCTTGGCTCATTCAAAAGACATTGTCTGAGCAGCTCCCAGGTGCCAGGCACCATGAATAATAGAACATAGGTCCCCACTCAAGTCCTCAGGTTCCCCTCTCTCCCCAGTCCTATGGGGTTTCATGCTGGCAACTGTGGTGTGCTGAGTGCTCATTCAGGTTAAATGTGGATCTTGTAGATGTTACCTTGTGCAGGTCAGATATGGCTTGAGAGAGGCTAATCTGAAGGGAGATGACAAGTGAGGGCTGAGGTCTTTGGGAAGAGACCCAGAAGCTATTACAGAGAAGGGGTTTTTTTAAAAAATGCATTAAGCAAAAGAAAGTTAAGGTATTGGAACTTTTTTAAATCCCTTTTTATCCCCATGCCTCACTCCCACCCACCCACAGGCAACCATCTTAATGTGCTGGATGTGTATATGTCTTTTGGGTTGTTTGTGCTTTTGCAAAGTGCTTATCTTTCTTTCGTATAAAAGTATATGCAAATAGTGTTATGCTGTATATCTCCTTTTGCTTTTTACTAGTCCCCTCAGCATTATGTTTTAAAGTACCATGCATGTTATTGAGTGTACATATAATCAGTTGTTTCCAGATGTTGCATAATACTACCCCATGTAACCTAGCCACTCCTCCAGATGCTCACCACAACGCTGCAATGCACATCGCCACATCCTTCCGCATCCACTCCTCCCGATGCTCACCACCACCACCACAACGCTGCAATGCACATCGCCACATCCTTCCGGTCCTGTGTGAGTGAGACTGCTGGTACTAAGGGTACAAATAGCCTTAATTCAGTGCCTGCTTACTCTCCTGATACACTCCCATTGGCAGAGCATGCACATTATTATACCCTTATATCCTAGCCAACACTTGGTGTTATCCAGCCTTCTAATGTTTGTCAATCCAATGGTTGTAAAGTGATATCCCAGAGTTTCTTAATTTATATCTCTCTGATTAGTAATTTACATCTCTCTGATTATTAATATTATTCAGCATATGCAGTAACTCTACATATGCTTGTTGGTGTTTAGTTTCTCTTGAGTGAGCTAATCGGATTTGAAGTGGAAGAGAGATTAGTCTACTCAACTCGCCCATATTCCTGAAAAGGGGGGAAGGATTTGGCAGTTCACCAGGCATAGGAGCCAGGGATGCTCCAGCAACACTTCCAAGTGGAAAAGGCTTCAAGGTGAACAGTTGGGGCCTGAACTATGAGGTTTTCCTTGAAAACGATTTTTTCCCCCAAAACACACAGGACAGAACATGGAAAACAGATGACTCCGAAGGGGAAAATGGAGTTAGCCAACAAGATAGAATTGAGGTTCAACCTGTCAAAAGCTATTTCCTGGAAACTGAAATAAATTGGATACTATTAAAAGAAAGAATTTCTGTTCTTCAAAAGACACAAGAGACTGGAGAGGCAATCCACAATGTGGGAAAATATATTTACAGAA